ACATCATACACCATGACCAAGTGGGATTCATCCCAGGGATGCAAGGATGGTTCAATATTCGCAAATCAGTAAACGTAATATATCACATAAACAAAAGCAAAGACAAAAATCGCATGATCATAACAATAGACATAGAAAAAGCTTTTGATAAGGTACAACACCCATTTATGATAAAAACACTCAGCAAAGTGGGAATAGAGGGAGCATTCCTCAATATAATAAAGGCCATTTATGAGGGACCTAGAGCCAACATCATACTCCATTGGCAAAAACTAAAATATTTTCCATTAAGATCAGGAACAAGACAAGGATGTCCACTTTCACCACTTCTATTTAATATAGTACTGGAAGTTTTAGCCACAGCTATCATACAAGAAAAGGAAATAAAAGACATCCAAATTGGAAAGGAGGAAACAAAACTGTCATTGTTTGCAGATGACATGATAGTGTACATGGAGAATCCTATAGACTCTACTCAAAAACTGCTCAAACTAATTAATGAATTTGGTAAAACAGCAGGTTACAAAGTCAATATCCAGAAATCAAAGGCATTTTTATATACTAACAATAAACCAGCAGAAGCAGAAATCAAGAAAAAAATACCATTCGATATAGCAAAAACAAAAATAAAATATCTGGGAATAAACCTAACCAAGGAGGTAAAAGACCTGTATGCAGAAAACTATACAACAATGAAGAAAGAAATCAAGGAGGACACAAACAAATGGAAACATATACCATGTTCATGGATTGGAAGAATCAACATCATCAAAATGTCCATACTACCCAAAGCAATATACAGATTCAATGCAATACCTATTAAAGTTCCAATGGCATATTTCACAGACATAGAATAAACACTTCGAATATTTATATGGAACCATAAATGACCCTGAATAGCAGCTGCTATTTTGAGAAAGAAGAACAAAGTAGGAGGAATCACAATACCTGATATCAAATTGTATTACTAGGCCACGGTAATCAAAATAGCATGGTACTGGCATAAAAACAGGCACATAGACCAATGGAATAGAACAGAGAGCCCAGAAATCAACCCAACTCTCTACAGTCCATTAATATTTGACAAAGAAGACAGTAACATAAAATGGACTAAAAATAGCCTCTTCAACAAATGGTGTTGGGAGAACTGGACAGCTATGTGCAAAAAAATGAAACTTGAGCACCGACTTACACCACACACCAAAATAAATTCAAGGTGGATAAAAGACTTGAATATAAACCATGAAACCATTAAAACCCTAGAGGAGAACATTGGCAAAAAAATCTCAGATATTTCATGCAGCAACTTTTTTACTGATATGTCCCCTAGAGCAAGGGACATAAAGGAAAGAATAAACAAGTGGGATCTCATAAAAATAAAAAGCTTCTGCATGGCTAAAGAAAATAGTATTAAAATAAAAAGACAACCAACTCTATGGGAAAACATAATTGCCAATGATACCTCAGACAAGGGTGTAATCTCCAAAATATACAAAGAACTTACACAACTCCACTCTAAGAAAACAAATAACCCAATTAAAAAATGGGAAAAGGACTTGAACAGACACTTCTCCAAGGAGGACATACAGAGGAACCAGAGACACATGAAAAGATGCTCAATATCGCTAGCCATCAGAGAGATGCAAATTAAAACCACAATGAGATACCACTTTACACCAGTCAGAATGGCTATCATAAACAAAGCAACAAACGACAAATGTTGGAGAGGTTGTGGGGAAAAGGGGTCCCTAGTTCACTGTTGGTGGGAATGCAGACTGGTACAACCATTATGGAAAACAGTATGGAATTTTCTAAGAAAACTAAAAATGGACCTGCCTTATGACCCAGCAATTCCATTGCTGGGACTATATCCTAAGAACCCTAAAACATCAATCCAAAAGAACCTATGCACCCCAATGTTCATAGCAGCAAATTTACAATGGCCAAAAGCTGGAAGCAACCATCAGTAAATAAATGGATCAAAAAATTATGGTACAAACAGGAAGCTAAACAACAAAACAAAGAAGCAAACAATAAAAACAAAGACACTGAAATAGAGAACAAGTGGGCAGTGACCAGAGGGGAGAGGGAAGGGAATTTAAGGGGAAAAAGGGGGAGGGATTTGACAAATAGGAAGGACACAGGGACGAGAACTAAGGGGGGTGGAAATGGGAGGGAGGTGGGGAGCACGGGGTGGGGGGGGCTGAGATGGGAGAAATAGACAAAAAACTGTACTTGAAAAATAACTAAATAAAATTTTTTAAAAATTATGGTACATATACATAATGGAATTCTATACAGCAGAAAAAAAGGAGCTCCTACCCTTTGCAACAGCTTGAATGGAACTGGAAAGCATTATGCTGAGTGAAATAAGCGAGGTGGTGAAAGACAAATAACCATATGATCTCACCGTTAACAGGAAACTAAACAACAAAACAAACAAGCAAGCAAAATAAAAACAAGGACACTGAAATAGAGAACAGGGGGACAGTGACTAGAGGGGAGAGGGGAGGGAATTTCAGGGGAAAAAGGAGAAGGATTTACAGAAACTAGTATAAAGGACACATGGACAACAACTAAGGGGGTGGAAATGGGAGGGTGGGCTGGGATGGGAGTAAAAGACAGAATAGTGTAGTTGAAAAATAATTAAATAAAAAAATGATTAAATTAAAAAATCATACCTGTGTAATCACAGTAAAAGTGCCAGTGAGAGTGAAAACTTCATAGTCAACTTGATCTTTTTTATTTGAAATATTGTTAATTAAAAGAAAATTAAAAGTAAAAAAAAAAGAAACATCAATCACTTTTTAAAACATAAAGAGTAAGAGATTTTTAACTTGCATATGCTGCTTGTCCTGCCTGCCCTGATCAGCTGAATTAAATCTCTACTTTCACTTGACATGACATTGCTGATTAAACCAGGCTACAAGCCAAGACTAATTTCCTGGCACCCTGTATGTCGGTCTGAGATTGGAGACTGGCACCCAGCAGCCCCATCTCCACTCAGCTGACCTGCCATCTGATAGGGGAAACATGAGTGAAGTCCAGCCCAGAGCAGCAGAACCACCCAACTGACTCTGGGGTGTTGTGCAGCATTAACTGCTGACAGAGTGGTCAGGCGAGCCCATTACTTAGATTGTCCTGTCTGCCTCTGGCATAACCTAAATGGGTTAGGGTCAACCATAACAGGGAGTGGAAAATGGACACTAAGACTGATGAGAACTAAAAATTACAGTATTGTTTTCTCACAAGTTACAATGACAACAATATTTCTTGAACTGGACCCAAGCCATATAAACTATAAATTAATCCTATTTACCGTAAGTTTACAACCTTCAAAGTACATGAGGTGACTGATACTTAGTCTTCTACAGACTAACAAGTGTCCACATGATACTTCTATAGATTTGACTTAAAACTTTTTCAGAATATCCAAACCAATTACAGCATGTCTTTTATGCCTAAAGCATCTTTAGACTTTTGTTAGAAGGCTAGTAAAGCTAAATTAACAAGCATATGCAGAAATGTTTTCTTCACTTGGCATAATCATCACGCACAAAAAAGGTCAATGGTACAAATAATTTTAGAAGACAAGTCTATTATTATAGGATTTTTAAGATCTGCTACAGAAGGTTTAATGGCCTGACATAGCTGATAAATTTTGCTTCCAATAGAAAATGGTCAGTATTATCTTAAGCTATTTGCTGGCTGTATTTCCTCACGTTCTAAATTCACTTTCTCAGCATTCTGTCCTGGATTTCAAACGGTTCTGCTTGCTGGTAGCCGTGATCCAAGTTCTACTGCAAACCCCACCCACAAAGAACTTTTCAAAAACCTGCTTCTCCAAGTGTGGTCCATGGACAAGGAGCATCACAGACCCCATCCAGGCCTGCTCAGTCAGAACCTACTTTTTATAACAAAACCCCGTGATTATTTTCAGTTTTTATTACTTCATTTCAGCTCTTAGTTCTTAGTAACAGCTTCGAGACTATGGCTGTGGGATTCCCTCCTACTTTCAGCAAATAGGCAGCCAGTCTTAAAGAGAAAAAACTGCTTCACACAAAGTGATTTCTCCCCACAGTGCACAGCAGCAGGTCCAAGAGGAAAGCCATACGACCCTCTGGAGCCTTGACTCACAACTACTATGAGGCTATGAACCACACACCCTCTTCCTCCTCTTGTTTTTTTAAAGATTTTTTTTTTTGAGAGAGGGAGGGAGGAAGAAAAACATCAGCGTATGAGACACATATCACTCGGTGGCATCCCACAAGACCCCAACCATGGACCCACAACCCAGGCATGTGCCCTGAACAGGAATCAAACCACTGACCTTTCGGTTCACACGCCGGCGCCCAATCCACTGAGCCACACCAGCCAGGGCTCTTCTTGTTGTATGCATCAGACCGATTCCCCTTTCACACAAGGCTCTATGTTGATAAATCAATCATAGACCAAATAATATTTTATATACTTATGGGGTTTTTTTCCCTTTCTACCAGACAGTACATATCTTGAGAATGGGTACTGAATCTCTTGGTCAACTTTTAAAAATTTCCAAAACCAAAAACAGTGCCCAGTAAAGGGCAGGATTCCAACAGTGCCCTCTCTTTTTAATGAATGAATGAAAAAAATAACTTACCTACTGGTTACTGATTAATTCATGAAATTTCAAACACTCACAAGAATAGCTTACCTAATTCTCAAGTTTAAAAATTATAGTATATATTTTCACAGCCACGGCAATTTGTTTCTCCTATAGTCTATTGGGTTGGTTCCAAAGATTTCAGTCATGATAGAAAAATAAACAAATATTCATGTAAAGGTTTACATAGTTTCTTCATTTCCAATACGTAAGCTTCTAGTAACACCCTATCTTAATCATCTTTGAATCCCTAATGATGCTTATAGTTTCTGGTAATTACTATGCACTCAAATATTTGAATAGGTTATTTTTAAACTACCATATCTGTTAGTATTATTACAATTAACGAAAAAGGAGCTCCAATGCAAAACATTTTAATAGGCTGTCAAATATACAGTATTAGAATTATCTAAATATCACTTATAAAAATTGGTATATCACATTAGATGATTCTATAAAATAAAATCACACATTGACAATAACCCCTGCAGTCCGAGAACACCCCCATTGATAGTACAAATTACAAACACATTTAAAAAGAGACATTAAACCAAAGTAACTTTGACTACATACATTCATTCATCAAGTACAATAAACTTAGCATAGTCACTAGTAACACAATTTCAGGTGCAATTTCACATGCGTTCGTAAGTCTTCCAGTACAACTCCCATAGTAAAGTGTCTTTGTGCACGCCATTCTCGTATACAGGTGCATCACACATCATACTTGACTATTTCACTTCATAACTAAACTTGTTAATATGTAAGTGAACACCAGGCCAAAATTTAACCCCAATGATAAGAAAGTTTAACAATTAAAAAGAATTCTTGAGTATAATATAATTTGTTTAATCCTATGAATACTATTTCCTCTTACTAGATGCTATCAAAATAATAATTTAAACATTAACTCCCCAAAAATAGAAACTCTAACCTTCCTAAAATATTAACTAGCATTTTAGGTAATGATAAAATCATCCGTAAGTCAAAAATTTCATATTCACTGCCAAATTTAAAATACTGGTGATCTGAAGATTGAGGCCAAAAACATTTGTACTAAATTATAAAATACAATATAAAAATGTGCAGTAATTTGCTTGTGAAAACATAATGGAACATTTTTCACAGTAATGTTATAACACTACTCTCAATGGACACTCTAAGTAAACGTACCTTTACCAGCAAGAAAATGGAAAAATTAAGGCCTCTGTATGCTATCTATAGTTACTACTTGAACTCAAAGTGAAAGAGGTTACAATACTGCAAAGTATTATTTTCAACCTAACACAGTTGCTTCATTTCAACTCAACAACTGCCTTATCTTTACACAAGCTCAAATGCTAGTTAATTTTGTCACCTCAAAATGAGTATTTCTCTATACCACTGCTATTTTAATTCAGCCCCAACCCCACCTCATCTAGACAGTATACTGGAAATAGTTATAGCTTTGCCTAATTGCTTTACAACTGTATATTCAAGGGCTTAAAATACTTGGCACATGGTAGATATCCAGTAAGTATTTTTGAATTAACTAAGAAGCCTGGCCTCCACGAGCAACTCTACTTGTTTTCCCAAACCATTAACAGACTAAAATGACAAGAACTGAGGTCTACACTATGATAACACAGAATGTAATGGAAGGACAACTGAAGCTACGCATTCCACAAACCAAGGTTAAAGGCACTGGATCAGAAAGATTATTCAAAGCATCGTAAACAATTTGTAAAGCAAATCAAGTTTTAAAGTATCAAATGCTGAACTGCTATGAGAAAATGGTACTAAAGTGATGAAAATGCTTTAAAATAGCTTCACAGGACAAAATTTCTGTCATTTCACAAATACAATTCTTTCATTGTTTTTCCATTTCCTTTCATCCTACATCTTCAACAATATTCCAATTCCTAGAAACAAATGTTTTCAGTTGCATGAAACAGAAGAAATGCAACTAAAATAACTCTGAAAATGCCTTTTCCTTAAGTCATGTTATAAATTTGATAGAGGTTATAGAGATATGAAGAGTATCATCTTGAAAACCATAAAACAGTAAAGTATACTCAAAATCAGAAAAAAGTTCTTATTCAGTTAACACAATCTAAAGCCCCACAACAGCAAATTGTAGTGTAAAAGACATACATAGTAAGTACTATCTTTCCTGACACATAAAGAATTATGAATACTGAGTTGAAATACCATCAGTGCCATATTAGAGCTATTTAATATACACATTTTCACAAATGATTCTTGAAAAACTATTTAGATAAAATATTTAGTATTTATCATCAATTTTTACTTGAATCTATGCAACATCCATCTGTATTAAAATATCAATGAATGTAAATACTTTATTATAAAACTATTATACAATTTTAAATTTTTACTAGAGAAATGTATTATTCACTCATAATTTCTTGAACTTCTCTTTATGAGTGCATTCCATAAGAAATACACTAAAGCCATTATTTGTGTTTCCTAGTGGAAAAAATTTGATAACCTTATTAACCCAAACTATATCCTTATTACGCTTTACTTCTTAAACATTTGTATGTTTAGATATGCTTGGTGAATAGTGATCATTCTATTCCCACAGTGGTATATTTCAGCATAATGCTACATGACTGGACTACATAGTAAAACAGTCACATGTAGATTACATAAACAGATACTCTGTTATATGTAAGTTTACTTATAAAGCAACATAAAATGAGTATTGGATAACAGTGATAAAAAATGTAAACAAACAGAATTAAATGTTAATCCCTTCCCTGAAAAACAAAAGATAAAAAGCGCTTCCTGTTTTATTAAAATAAAACAAAATATGATTTTACAAAACTGTATTTCCAAATATGGATAAAGAAAATCTAGAACAGTTGACTTACACTTTGTTGAGCTAAAATGTGCAAAAAAAAAACAAACCCTGATAATATTTAAATGTATTAAATTCATTTTACACAGGCTGATACCATTCCCTACCAAAAAAAAAAAAAGCCTCCTGTTTTGTTCAGATTCAAAATTGTGTCTAATTATCTGAACTTAAGATTTACTGAACTGCTCTCCAAATAACAACAACAACAAAAGTCTATTGTAGGAGAAATCAAGTAAAATTAGAAAATTTCTGACTATTAATTATGACTTGAAATTCATCCCCACACAAAAAGCAAAAGCCAATATCCATTTAGGCAGTAGAAAAAAAAATATGAAGTCCCTAGAAAAGAATTTACAATGACTCTACATAAAAAATTAAAAACAACTGAATTTGCTATAACAAAATGCATATGAAGTTTAAAGTTATTCAGGTTTAACAGATTTATTAAGCATAGAATTCACAGTGCATTTGGTACTTCTGTTTGTTCTCAGATATCTGCAAAGTGCCCTAAGAGAGGGTTGGGAAGGTAACATAAACATAAACTGTGATACTTTCTTCCACACCAGAAAGAGGTGCTTAAATTCAAAAGTTTAATTTGTAATTCTAGGGGAAGAGTAGGAGGGACTAACAATTTCCAACTCTAAAACATTTTCTAATAATATGACAAAACTGTTAACAACTTAGATGTGTTATTAGTGAATCAAAATGCAAACAATGAAAGCATAAACATCTAACATATTTGCAAATTTAATTTTAAAGTTTAAATGTTATCAATAATAATAAATGCTTATTTTTTCAAAGATGGTGAATATGAAACACAGATAACACAGAATCTAATTTCCAGAAAAAACAGTATTGCTCCCTCCCCATGAAACTAAATCAAAATTTCTCTCTTGAATATAAAATTATTTTGAGTAAGAATGAAATAGAAGCGAGGATTTAGATATGCACCATTCTCTATGATGTATTAATCTACACAGTATTTTTGACAATACTCAATATCGAGTGTGGTTCTTCCCTGCTCATTAGTATTCCGAAAAACACCATTTTTAGAAACATACATTTATACTACTGGTTAACTAAATGGACACATAAAAATATATAACTTTTTTAAAAATTCAAGTTATTTAAAGGAGATATAAGACAAACCTTCAAGCATCCACATTTTGAAGTTGTAGTAAAAAGAAAAGGTATTATTATATAGTTATAACACTTTTCAAAAAGTGGTGAATATATATTCCAATTTGCCCATAAATGAAAGATTTTAAAGGAAAAACATGTTCTTTCCAAGTACTTTATTTTTCCCCTTCTTACCCCAGCAAGAATAATCATTAGTGCCCTAAATTTCAAGATTTTTGTTGTTGTTGTTGTCCATTTCAATTATCTTTTTCATGAAATATAACATGTTGCCAATATGAACATAAATGAAAATTAAAGAGAAAATCTACTTTTGGAATGTAATAATTCAAAATCATTTCCTTAAGAAGCACCATTTGGTATGCTGATCTAAACTTTAATATAAAACCTAAATAGTACTTATTTCTGAAGTAGAATTTTCTCCAGTTTTAATAATTTCATATAGCAATACTAATGACATCAACCTGTGCTTTCTAGATTTTTGAAAGTGTTCTCATAATGTAATGAGTTTAGATATGGCTCATTGTCAAAGTTGGGTGGACAGAGATTCCATGATAAACTGGCTATAGAAAACTAAACTCTTAATGACTGAATAATAGTTTGCATTTTACTTGAGCCAAATAGATGTTTCAACCATGTACCACCACCACATTCCCTGCTTGACTTTCCAAAGTTTCTTTATTCTTCATAGTTTTCTAATGAACAAATAATTAGTTTTCCTGAGTAAGATTATAAAAAAGTTAACCCTTCTACCAAAAGTATAAAGACAAATAAAATGCAGACTCACAATATAAACTTTTTACATAGCATTACAAGTGCAGAGATAGACTGCTGCTCTTCACAATGATTGCCCCACCCCTTAAAAAGACTGCAGAAAGGGATTCATTTGTCTAAAATACTCTGCAGTACAGTAATTAAATGCTTCAGCCCATAAACATATCCGTCATCCATTGTGTTGCTAGGGAAAACATGAGCAAAATCTATCATTCGCACTTCCACATCTGCAGTCTCTTGGCAACCAGTGGGAAGATGATAGAAAACTTTTTCCAGTTGGGAAAGGACATTTCCGTTCAAATGTTCCTGTGACAAGCTTTTCCACCCATTGTCTTGCTCTATACTTTCAACTTTCAATGAAGTCTGACTGTGATGCTTTTTTGAATACATTTTTCTGTGACGAGCATACATCTTAGACAAGCTTTTGCCTACGGAAGCCTCTATTTTTCCATTTGTTGTGGAACTTATCACTCGAAAATTATTATTGTACTCCAGTACATTTGGGTCTGAGAATTGTCCTTTGGACAAAAACTTTTCTGCCAAAGTTCTTTCATTTGATTTTGTAGTAGCTGACTGAGATGAACCTTCATAAACGAACAGTAATGAACTTGCATAAAAGTTAAGCTGCTTCTGGCTTTCAAACCACTGCAGGATACTCTCAACCTTCTGAATACTGGCAGCAACAGCATCTTTTCTTAAGCAGAATCCATTATGAAAAAACCTGGAAACTCCTATGAAAAGGAAAATATAATAATATTGTAATATACTATTATGATTATAATCTAAAACAGCTACCGCTTGGGAACTAAACTCGTCTTAGATGCAATTTTTCAATTTTTCCCACCATTCCTCACAATTAACCAAACGCATAGGAACTATAGTCAGACAAAGAAACCTGGACCTCAACTTAATTTCTCGTGAAGATGCTCTTACTAGAAGACATTTAAGTGATACTATGTAAAGTGAAATATCACATTTAGAAGTATTTGCTACAGATAGACTGGTAGTTTAGTTCTTTTTACATATATTATCTTAAGTAATGTATTCTAAGATTTCCTTCATTTGCTGTGAAGAAATTTACAGAAAGCTTAATTTGTCTGTTAGAGTCACATTTAAGAGCTAATCTAAAACCTGGAGTCAAATCATAAAGATTTTGAATGGTGCCAACAGCCCATTACCAAAATACCAAACCATAGCTGTACTAAATTTTTTCTGTTCCCAATAATATTAAGTCTGTCTTTTCACAAAAGTTAAGCTCACTTTGGGGATTAGCACTATTCCAGTTTTAGTATATTATCCAAAATTGAGATTTTTACATGTTTTAACCTATAGTCAGATTATTAGGCCCCTTTTAAAATTACTTCGGTTGCCCACTCTGGGACAGAAACCACTAAAAAATATATTTATATTAGCTTGGGAAATATTTTAATACAGAACCAGTCTTCATATTATCTTGCTATTGGCCAAGGCAAATACTAATTAAGATCACACTGTGGGATACCTATTTTCTACACATAAAATAAAAATTCTTCTTCAAACTCTTTATACTACACATAACCTATTTCTCACCTTAGGTATAGCTAAGAATAAACCTCCAATAAAATTATTTCCAGAAATCTAGAATATCATTGCTTTTATCTTGCACATAAATGTTTAGAAGCACATGTTAACAGATTTATTCAAACTACTTTTAATGCTACTTGTTTATTCATAATGTAGTTCTAGAAGCTAATAACATATAGCTCAACTATAAAAGGGAAATTTCAATAAAAATAAATAACATGCTACAACATACCCTTTGAAGTCTCTTATGTAACAAGTAGTTTTAATATACCATGATCTATATACTATGACTTTAAAGACAACCTCTAGTTCCAGTACTTGGACTACATGGTTGTTTCATGGATGCTCATTTTTATTTAAGTACATTAATAAATTTAAAAAGGAAGGAAAATGTAAGAGGACCATTCATGGCTCCATGGTTTTGGTGTATTGTGAACTAAGGATTATGATCAGGCCAATTCTGTGAATTCAATCATTATACTGAAAGAGAATTAAAATCAAAACCACTTTTGATAATTGTGCAGTAATAAAAGCACTGAAATGTGATTTTTCAATCCTTACCATCCTTTAGAGTTTCTTTTGTTAAGCTTCTTCCATAGTGCTGGTTTTCTGTCTCATAGCTATCAGAATGAACATGATAAACCTGTCAGAAAAAGTAGTGAATATTCAAAATGAATACTCCTTGACCATGCAGAATTTATCTCAGCAATGGTTAAAGATGGGAAGATTTATATGATTCATTCTAATGGATTCTTAAAAAATCATGTCATCATTTCAATAGATTCTGAAAAGGCATTCAACAAATTTATATCCACTATCAATGAAAACTCTTTAAAAGGATAGATGAGTACTTCCAATATGAAAAATCATATACCTCAACCCATTGAAGGTAGGTCTCAAGTTTAAAGTGAATATAAAGAAGCCCCTGTCCTAAGATAGAAGAAGCTTCCAAATAAAGTATTCTAGCACAATGTCTCTTATCATCACTACCAGCTAATATTGTTCTGGAGTCTCTAGCAAATGTTAACAGACAAGAGAAAGTAATTAGAGGTATAATAATTTGGAATAGAGGAGATAAAAATATTACTCTTTATAGACAATGGCTATACACTGAAATATCAACTATAAAACTAATACAAACAATAAAAACTTGAAATGCCAAAGGAATACAAATTAGCAAAAAGAGTCTTGACTAAGTGGGACTCAGATGGCTGGGTATTGTCCCACAAACAGAAAGGTCACCTGTTTGATTCCCAGTCAGGGCACATGCCTTGGTTGCCGGCCCTAGTTGGGGGCATGCAAGAGGCAACCAATTGATGTTTCTCTTACACACTGACGTTTCTCTTCCTCTCTTTCTCCCTCCCTTCTCCTCACTCTAAAAATAAATAAAATCTAAAAGATAGAAAGACCAAGCAAATCATTACCTTAAAAAAAATTAGTAAACAGGAAATAAGCTATGTACTAGTATATATTAATAAACAGCTATATATATTTGTATATATATATAGCTATATACTAACAGCTGGTTAGAAGCATAATTAAGACCCCATTTATAAATACAGCAAAAAAGAAACAAAATATAGAAATTAAATAAAGGTGTAATCTATATAAAGACATTTTAAACAAATTCCTAAGACCTACATACACATACACACCACCATGGTCTCAGAGAGGAAGACTCAACATAAAAGATATCAATTCCACTTAAACTAATCCACAACTAAAATAAAATTATAATAAAACATCAACAATCTGGATAGCCACATAAGCTAAAGTTCCATTAGAAAAGCAAGAATAGACAGGGAAAATCAAAATAAGATTAAGAGAAAGGGACTAACCTTGGCATCCTACCAGATATTAAAATACACTTCATTTATATAACTGAAGAATAAATGACAATTATAATTATACATATTTAAAGGTACAATGTGGTTATTTGGTGTACATATACATTGTGCAAAGCTTACCAAGATCAAGATAATTAACACACCCATTATCTTGTGTGTGTGTGTGTGTGTGTGTGTTGAGAACACTTTGGATCTACTTTCAGCCAATTTCAAGTACACAATGTTGTATTATTAACTAGTCACCATGCTGTACTCATAACTTATTCAACTTATAACTGAAAATTTGCACCCTTTGATCTATATTTCCCCTATCTTCACCCCTCCAAGCCCCTGGAAACCATCATTCTAATTTGTCTCCAAGAAATCAGCTTTTCTTCTTTTTTTTTTTATTCCATATATAAGTAATACCATACAGTATTTGTTGTTCTTTGTCTGGCTTATTGTGCTTAGGATAATGTTTTCAAGGTCCATCCATGTCATCTCAAACGGCAGGATTCCAAATGCTAATAGGTGCAGCATTTCTTCTGGGGGTGATAAAAATGTTCTGAAGTTGAATATGGTGATGGTTGCCCAACTCCATAAATATATTAAAACCAATGAATTATGTACTTCAAATGAGTGAACTGAATGGTATTTAAATCATACAATGCTATTTTAAAAAACACATCAAACAGAGGGACCTCTATTTCGGGAAACAACATGTGCAATGCTTTACTTATTTATCCTGTGTATGTGCCTTAAGGCAATGGAAACCCAGAGAAGAGTTTTTAAGAGGAGAATGCCATGATTATTTTTGCCATGTTTGGAGAACAGACTGGAAGAAAGAAAAACTGACTTTGAGAGATCAGTTAAGAAACTAGCGTCTGGAGAAGGATAATGATGAAAATGGAATTTAAAATGCTTGGGAATTAAGATCAATAGGATTGATGGATGGGTCTGAGAGGATATGGTGTCTACAAAATTTTTAGCTTGTAAAACTAGTGATGCCATTTACTGAAATAAGGAATACAGGTTGTTGCTATTGTCGTGGTTAGTTGTGAGAGAGATGAGTGGATCACGTTTTTATATATTAGTTCTAGATGGTTTTCGGAGGGTTTTTTAAAGATTTTATTTATTTATTTATTTATTTATTTATTTATTTTTTAAAGATTTTATTTATTTATCTTTAGAGGGAAGGGGAGGAAGGAGATAGGGAGAGAAACATCAATGTATGGTTGCCTTTCGTGAGTCTCCTGCTGGGAACTGGCCTGCTGGGAACTGGCCTGCAATCCCAGTATGTGCCCTGACTGGGAATCGAACCGCGATTGTCTGGTTCGCAGGCCCGCACTCAATCCACTGAGCTACACCAGCCAGGGATAAAGATTTTATTTATTTATCTTTAGAGGGGAAGGGAAGGAGAAAGGGAAAGAAATATCAATTTACAGTTGCCTCTGGTGTGTTCCCTCCCCTGCTGGGAACTGGCCTTGCAACCCAGGCATGTGCCCTGGCTGGGAATCGAACCAAGATTGGTTCACAGGCCCGCGCTCAATCCACTGAGCTAAGGTCTAGATGTTTTTAAGTCATCCAAGTAAAATTTCCAATAGGATCTTAGCTGTACAGTAGGAGATAAAAGGAAAAAAAGCTGAGGCTAAAGATACGCCTTTGGGAGTTATTAGTGTAAGTGAAACTGAACCAATAAAAACAAAGGAAGAAACAAAAGGGAGGCAGTAAAATGGAACACAGAGAAATCCCTCAACATTTAAAGAATAAACAGATAACGAATGAGCTTGCAAAGAAAACTACAAAGTAGCCTTTGGAAAAAACCAGGAGATGGTACAGTGTTACAGACATCAAGAGGACTGTTTTGAGGAAGACCTAGTTAGCCTTGAAGTTGCTTTTCAAAGTGAAGTAAGGTGAGTAATGAAAATGCCATTTGTATTTAGTGACACGAAGATGTCATTAGGGACCTTAGTCAGGAGCTAATCTGGTGGCATGATGGAGCAAAAGCCAACTGGAGGTTAAAAATACTAAAGGGGAAGTAAGGCAACAGAAATAACTAATGTGGTTGTGAAGAGAAGCAGGTTAAAAGTGGCTTTGATGTGGGTTTGTTATTTTTTTAATTGAGTGACCTGAACATATATAAAACAAAAGGAAAAGAGTCAGGAAAGAGAGACAGGAGTTAAAGATATAAGACAAGAAAGAGTCACTAGTATTAGATTTCCAAAGAGGCGGAAGGGAATGAGATCTGGAGGGCATAGGGAAGGGCTCTCCTTAAGATGGAAAATTCTTCAATGAGACTGGAAGGAACAGAGGGAATGAAAGTATCTGCAGGTTAGATACATACATTTGTTGGCAGGAAATTAAAGGAATTCCTGTCTGATGGCTTTAATTTTTTTTTCCACAGTAGGAGGTAAAGTCCTGTGCTAAAAGTGTGGAAGAAGCCCTGGCTGGTGTAGCTCAGTGGATTGAGCGCGGGCCTGCGAACCACACGATCGCGGTTCGATTCCCAGTCAGGGCACATGCCTGGGTTGCAGGCCGGTTCCCTGCAGGCCAGTTCCCAGCAGGGGATGCACAAAAAAGGCAACCACACATTGATGTTTCTCTCCCTCTCTCCTTCCACCCCTTCCCCTCTAAAAATAAATAAATAATAAAATATTAAAATGAAAACAGTAAAGGTCTAAATAGTTGCCTTGTTGGATTCCTGTAGGGTATTTATTTCTTGTTTGTTTTAACATTATGCCATTAACGTTTTTTTCTTTCACTATATATTCACATTTAATTATAGTTTTCTAAATGAAATAACTATATCAACAATTTCTTTGATCAGAATGCCAAACTCAACTGTGCTGTTATAACCTTCCCGTTAACAATCCATCTATAATGCTCCCTATTAACTGTTTACAACTCAAGAGATCCATATGTCATCTTTTATGATGAATTTTAAATCTCATCATGCTTATATAGATACGTAGTCATTTATCAAATTTAACCTCCACACGTCTAAATCATATACTGAAAACCGTTTGTTTCAAGAATTTTGTTCTACATTACGTCTTTAAAAAAATCCTCACTCAAGAATATGTTTCACTGATTTCAGAGGAAAGGAGGGTGAGAGAGAAACAACAATCAATTGCCTCTCACACACAGCCCAGCCGAGGATGGAACATGCAAACCAGGTATGTGCCCTGACCAAGGGATCGAACCCTCAACCCTTTGGTTTATAGGAGGACGCTCCAATCAAATGAGCCACCCAGCCACGCATGGCTCTGCATCTTAATTGTGACATATCATTTGCAAAGATGGCCTCAACAATCCTTCTCATCTTTGTGTACATTGCCATTTGTATTGCGACTTCCCTATTCCCACCATCAGAAGTGGAGTCTATTCCTCCTCCCCATGAATAGTATAAGCTGATCCTGTGATAAACTTGGACCTAACCGCCCTCTTGGAATGCGGTACATGAAGAAGTTCCAACTAGCCTCCTGGAGGATGAGACCACATGGAAAAAGGTTAGAACCATCCAAAAGTTAGAACAAACTCCCAGACACAAGCATGGGGTCACTTTAGACCACCTAGCCCCAGGTGAGCCATCAGGTGAGTGCAGCCACACAAGGGACCCTAGGTGAGATCTGCAGAACTGTCTACTTGAGATCAGCTCAAATGGCCAACCCAGGGAATCATGGGCAAGTAAAATAACTGTTTTTAAATCACAGTTTTCTATTTTAAAAACAGAAAAATTACTGAACATATAAACTTAGGACTTTCCTAATGAGAAAATCATAAATAACATTTACTTACCATGTTATTTATGTTACAGCTAAACTTAAGCTTCTTTAAAACAAAATGAACAGAGTTGGAGTCTTGAGGGTCAGCCATTCATTCATCTTATTAGTTAATCACTATACTAAGTGTCACAATCATTCCAGACACTGACAATGTATCAGCGAACAAGACATAAAAAAAATCTCTGCTCGCACTGGAGAGTTATAGACAACCAAATTCCAAATTATATTATCTTCTGATTCAGTATTATAATGACATCCATAATTTTCAAGAACAGAACATGTAAATAAAAATGTGTGTATTATACTAATAATCATTCTTACCCTCATGCCAAGCACCAAGAACCCAATCTCTTCCATTAATGGGTACTTGCTGACCTGTTGCTGAATCTTCTCAGATGAGGCAAAAGGATCATAGCTTTTTCGCCCTATCTTTACATCCATTATACACGGCTTATTAAATTTATGGGTCACATCTTCCAGTTTTAGGTATAAATCTGTTATTAAAGAAAAACTTTAATTAGTGATAGGCAAACATATTACTACTCAAGTAACTTCTATGGAAACAAAATGAGGAAAACTTAAAACTGAGAAAAAAGTTAAAATAATTCCACTTAACAATTAGTATATAAATATCATGGAGAGACTCTCGCACAAGGTGGTATACATAAATACAATCATAAGCAAAAGGTATGAAGTACGTATAAGGTTTCCAAGGACGATAAAAAGGCAATGAGATTACTTCAAAAGCTGTTGAAGAATTACCCTTTTAAATACAATGTATGTCTGTATGCCTTAGCAGATCTCTGATTAGCATTTTAATAATTTTTAAAAAGCTGATTCTTCATTTAAAATTAGTAATAGGAATGAATCCTTCCCACAGAGTATACAACAGAAATATGGGTTAAGGAAGGCAGATCAGCCCTGACTGGTGTGGCCCCGTAGGTTGGGCTATGTCTCACAAACCAAAAGGTTGCTGGTTGGATTCCCAGTCAGGGTACATGCTTGGGCTGTAGGCCAGATCCCCAGTTGGAGACAAGAGGCAACTGGGCAATGTTTCTCTCCCTTCCTTCCCCCGTCTCTAAAAAGAAATAAAATCTTAAAAAAAAAAAAAAAATCAATCAAAATGATGGTCACTCTTTATACTTTCCACTCTCACTAGTCTCAAAAGAAAAACAAATAACTTGCTTTTTAGAATACAAATATCCTCAATTCTCATAAGATCATTTATAAACCACTCTGCCAACCTGTATACATCTTCGTACAGAAAATTACAAATGGTGGTTCAAGTAAAAAATTATAAAAGCCTCAGTTGTCACACTAGCAGAACTATTCACAATTTTAGCTTGAAAGTAAGGGTCCAAGAGCACCAAAAGAAGGAAGTAAGAGAAGAAATTCTTCCTCCCATTTCTGGCCAGAAAGAATCTGCCCAAAGTTCTGAATGATACTGTAATTTTAAGATATAATTAGATTATAATAAGAAACATTTTTCCTAAAAACTTTCCTCAAAGACAGGAAAAATTCTATTTGCTTTTTATGAAAGTAACATATAAAATTAGAGAATATGTATATTCTACATAAATTACATAAATGGGTACCAGAGAAAAAAGACTTATCCTCTAATATCTTTTCCCCAGTCCCACTACAGATTTATAATTACTCTTTTTGCAAACTACCTATATTATTTGTTTAGTGCTTATTCTAAATCAACATTTTCTCCAATTCCAGTTTACATTCATTATCAGTTTCAGGTGTACAGCAAAGTGGCCAAAATCACGTACTCTACAGAGTGGTCCCCCCACTGCCTCAAGCACCCACACAGTCAACATGTCACTCATGTTGACTATGTTCCCTGTGCTGTGATCCACACCTCTGGGACTATTTTGTAACTATTGATTGTACTGCTTAATCCCTTCAAATTGTTCACCCAGCCCCCATAATCCCTCCCCATCAACAACTGTCAGTTTATTCTCTGTATCTACAAGTCTATTTCTGTTATATTCATTTTGTTCTTTAGATTCCACATATAAGTGAAATCATGTGGTATTTGTCTTTCTCTGACTTATTTCACTTAACATAATACCCTCTAGGTCCATCAGTGCTGTCACAAAAGGTAAGATTTCATTCTTTTTATGGCTGGTAGGATTCCATTGTGTAAATGTACCACAGCTTTTATTATCTACTCATCTACTGTGGGCCAACAGACATATGAAAAGTTGCTCAGCACCACTAATCATCAAAGAAATGAAAATCAAAACCACAATGAGATACCACCTCACACCTGTTAGAATGACTACCATCAATAAATCAAAAGCCCTGCCTCGTGTGGTTCAGTTGGTTGGGCATCCTTCCGCAAACCAAAAGGTCTCACGTTCAATTCCCAGTCAGGGCACATACCTGGGTTGTGGGTTCTGTCCCTGGTCAAGACACAAGAAAGGCAACCAATCTCTCTCTCCCTCTCATTCTCCCTCCCTTCCACTCCCTCTAAAAAAAAAAATCAATAAACATGTCCTCCAATGATGATTAAATGAATGAATGAATAAATAAGTAAATAAATAGCAAACAAATGCTAGATGTGGAGAAAAGGGAACCCTTGTCCACAGTTGGTAGGAAGGTACATTGGTACAGCCACTGTGGAAACCAGCATGGAGGTTCCAAATAAATTAAAAGTGGAATTGCTTTATGACCCAGATGTCCTCTGGGAAGACACCTGAAGAAACCCAAAACATGAAAATATATGCACCCCCATGGAAGAGCCCAAGTGCCCATCGAGAGACTTGTAATAACTAAAATTAGCATAGTTATAAAATTATAAGGAAGTCAGTGCTGAACCAAAAGTGAGAAACCCCTTAGGTTTAAGAAACAGATTGAAAGATAAGAAGTAAAGAGATAAACTGCATTCCTTAGCCAAAGGAAGATGGTGGGGGAGATGTATGACTGTGCAGAAAGAACTAGGTGAAGCCCAGCCCAAATATGACAAAAAAGGGACTGCAGCCTAAGAGACCTGCACTGGCATACAAGAAAGAACCCTTCAAATTTTAAGGAAAGGATCTTACAAACAGACATCTTCAACAGGGTAAGAGATAACAAAAAGTCCGGACACAGACAATACATGCTAACGGTGAAAGGCAATGGGACAATCAGGAATATCCCCCACCCCAGTTTCTGTGCTTTAAAACATAATCACCATCCTGGCTGTTGTAGCTCAGCAGACTGAGTGCCAGCCTGCAAACCTAAAGGTCACTGGTTCAATCCCCAATCAGAACACATGTCTGGATTGCGGGCCAGGTTCCCAGTTGGGGGAAAGTAAGAGGCGACTGATTGATGTATCTCTTGCACATCGATGTTTCTTTCCCTGTCTCCCTCCCTTCCACCCTCTCTAAAAATACATCTTAAAAAATAAAAACTAAAAGATATTCATAGAAGGGATGAGAAGATGGAAAAGGAAGCGGCACAGAGCAGTACCCTTCAGATTCTCTCCTCCCATCTCCCAATGACTGAACAAAAGAGAAAGCAACTGATTCATTCTCTCTCTAAGGCTGTATAAAAATTTCAGTAACAAGGCTTTTATTTCAAATAGCAAAAAAGACTTAGGTCCTAATACAGTGGATCAATGCCTTAAAAAAATTATCATCATTAATTTCCCTTACTCACGAGATCCTAAAAGTATCAGTGAGGTGAGGCTCACTAATGAGAGAGTATTAAGATAGTGAGCAAACCTAGCTGACTATCACAGCATCTGTATCTCAGTATAGGGTCATTGTTTTCTACTTGCCAATTTGATAGTGATTAAAAATAATAAACTTTTTTTACACAATGAGATAGAAATGACAGAAGCTACAGTAAAGCAAATGTGAATATAAAATCCTCACTTCTTCCTTTTCTTCTTGGGAAGAAGGAAAATGCAAATGCAAACTCTATATATGAAGGGGTATCTTCCCCCCAAAACAGAGTGTATTTATTTTTACATGTTTAAATGCCAGTCACCTTCAAAGTACTCTCCATTTAATGCAATCCACCAATCGAGACATTTTTTCCACTGCTCAAAACAGGTTTCGAACTCATCAATTTTGTTGCTTTTTAGTGCTTCTGCTGTTTTTCGTTTTACCTTTTCCACATCAGCAAAACGATTCCCTTTGAAAACTTTCTTCATCCAGGGGAAACAAAACAAAGTTGTTTGGGGTGCGATCGAGTGAAGAGGGAGGGTGGGGTATAGGGGTCATGACGTTTTTTGGTCAAAAACTGCTGAACACTCGCCACAGTGTGGGCAGGTACATTTGTAAATCACCCATCATGAAATGAACAACTGCACTGAAAGTCTTCCAAAAAAATTCAATGAAGCTGAATGCAGCCTCTCATAACAAGGCCAACTGGCACACTGATTCAGATGGGCCCCTAGAACACTCACCTGGTGTTCTAGTACAAAGAAAGCCTGAACTGAAAGGGGCCCACCCTCCAGAAGATAATTCTGGTTTTTTGGGTCCTCCTTTGTACGACAGGGATACAATATATGTTCACTGAATGAATGAGTGTTTGCCTTTCTCATTCCTACTGCCCAGTAGAGATTTGGCTTGGCCTTCCTCACACTATAATAAATTTTGTGTTTTTCTTTACCTTACTTTCAGGTTCTTGATATGTTTTATGTGATTAGAATTCTCCAAGAACTGCTGCTACATTATTGTTTACTAGCTTTAAGTAAATGACCCTTAGGTTAAGGTTTAGTGAGAATTGGTTTAGTGTTTTTTTTTATATCTCCAGCCTCAGTGTTTTTAAGTGAAAGTAAAAATTTCAGATCCTCATTTCTATCTTACCTTCTAGGTTACAAACACCGAAAGCTCTGGAGATGTAGAGCTTTTAAAAAAGTGTATGATGTTCTGTATCTAGCAGCTTGCCACAGGTGCTTTTAAATGAAATAGGTACTAAATAGGAAAATGGGGCATAATATTAGTCTTGAGAGCCTTACTGATTTTTCTACAGGTCATCATCACTAGAAATAAATCTGAATACTAATCCTCTCTGAAAACTGCTAATAGCAAATTATCTCTTTAGAGTTTAAGGCATTTTACTATAGGGAAAACTCACAAGGAAATACCACACACTGAATAAAAAGGGACACTTTCTCAGCTGGGCCTCTCTGGGTATATACTGTTCGGTATTTTTCAATTTTTAGGCCAACAGAAAAGAAGTTCTAAAACTCATTCAAAAAGTATGATCAACTAAGAAGAAGATAAATGTCATATTTGGAATAGGTTAGATTCATTCTGACTGAGGTTAAGGAAATAAATTACATTAATCTGATATCTGGAAAATATCTTAGAAAATAATTATGATATTATTTGATACATAATCTGCACATAAAGGTAGAATTTTGAATATTAAAAAAATGAAGAGGGCTGGTTTTTACACACACACACACACACACATATATATATATATAAATCATAAAGATAGCGTAATAACTTGATTTACTTTTTCAAATTCTGGAAAGCTCTATTCA